TTTGGTTCTGGATCTGCAACTAACCAGAAAATTTCTTATCATCTCCAGATCACAGGTTGCCAGAAAGTTCCACTTGATGGAACCAGGTGGGGAATGTTGGTGCATAAGCTGTGTAACCCACTAGGAAGGGCAAATCTGAGCATGCTCCAAGAATTGGGGCCAATTATTGGCCAATCCCTCCATTACATTTAGATAATCTCAGAAAGGTTTCCAATTTACCTGCATTGTTGAGAAGTAGACTTAATTCTATGAAAATAAAGAGGTGAAATAGACCAAAATTTTCTTTCATTTACAAGTTTCTGCTGCCATCGTGTGGCCGAACATGTTGGTGGCTCTTTTATTTTTTTTCCCCCCTCAGCCAGTTTGCCTTTAGGACTGCGTGTCAGAAAACATCTATAACATCTACTTTGCCTTATTCCCAGTCAAAACCATTGGAAGCACAGTAAACTGAGCCCACAGGGTTCATGCTCTGAGGATTCTCTTGTCTCCCCCCACTCCCAATACCTAGAATGGATGGTTTAGCCTAGGGAAATGACTCAGGCAGGCAGGACAAATCACAGAATTTCAGAGATGGAAATGCAACAGTGTTATGGGCTGATAACTTTGATGTCAGAAAACCTTACTGATTATCCTGGTCATGTGCTATGTGACCTTGGATAAGTAATCTCAACTCTGTTGGCATCTGCTTTGTCCTCTGTAAAATAAGGGGGATGAGTTGGATGGTTCTCCACTGTCCCTTCCAGCTATAACCCGTAGTTCTGTGATTTCTTAAGTCATCTGGTCCAACCTTTGCTTAATCAGGAACTTCCTCTATGATATCCCTGACACCTAGTCATGAATGAATGAATGAAGCATTTATTAAGAGCTTCCTATGTGCAATGTACTGAGCAAAGTGTCAGGGTTACAAATATAAAAGTAATGCAGACAGTCCCTGCTCTCAAGGGGCTCACATTCTGGGGGGGATATGTAGGGAGGAGAAACGACACTTACCCAGCTTTTGCTTAAAGATCTACACTGATGGGGAGACCATGACTTCCTGAGGAGTTTGGGGCAGTTCTAATTATTAGGAAATTTCTCTTTATAAGAGTGGTTTTTAACCTGGAATCTGCGAAGAGATTTCAAGGGCTCTGTGAACTTGGGTGTGAAAAATTCAAACTTTTATTTCAATATAATTAGTTTCCTTTAAAGTCTGATGTATCTTATTTTATGCATTTGAAAACATTATTCTGAGAAGGGCACCACAGGCTTTACCAGTCTGTCAAAGGTCTGCCATTGGTTTACAGTGTACTCTGTGAACCAAGGAAATGAAGTTCGTTTGATGTGACCTGTTTGTGATGCAGTTATGGTGCTTTCAATGACTGGTGCTTCCTTTGTGTAAATATCTATAGTTTGCCCTTTTAATGTTAATTTCTATTCTTTACCCATCCCCTGCAATGAAAGATTCTACCATCTTTGAAAAACAGGGACATTTACTAGCCTCCATTCCTCTGTTGCTTCTCCTCCTACCCTCCGGTCGTAGTCTTTCAGACATTTGGGCCTGGAGGCTCGAATTCATTGAGGGTAACAAGGTGTTCTTTTACTATCTCTCCATTTGTTTTTGTTTTAACTCTTTCTGTTCTAAACTGTCTAGTCCAAAAGTAACTTGTCTTGGTAGAGAAACACTATAAGAATTGGATATTTCTTCTCTATCTTTGTTGCCAATGATCGTGGGGCCATCCACCCCCTTTGTTGCCAATGATCGTGGGGCCATCCACCCCAAGCAATGGTCTTTCTCCTCTTTTGAACTTTTTCTTACCCCCGAATTCGAGGTGGGGAGGGAATGATAATTGTCTTCAAGGATTTAAAGGGTTGTCCTCTGGAGTAAGGATTAAATTTATTAGGCTGATTGTAAAGAAAAGTTTCCTAATAGTTGAGTCACTACACTGTAGGAAAATGTATGTTGTACCTTGAGTCAGGATAAGTTTTTCCGTGTAAGTATTTGTGACCCTGTTTGGGGTTTTCCTTGGCAAAAATACTGGAATGGTTTGCCATTTCCTTCTCCAACTCATTTCACAGATGAGGAAACTGAGACAAACAGGGATAAGTGATTTGTCTAGGGTCATACGGCAGTAAGTGTCTGAGGCTGGGTTTGAACTCAGGAAGATTTTGTCTTCCTGACTCTAGTCCTTGTGCTCTATCCATTGTGCCACTGTGCCACCTAGCTGTTCTTGAGTCAGGAAACCTGACTTTACATCATGGGAAAATCACTTAACTCTGATTCCAAATGGGAATGACAATAACTTATTCTGTCTAAGAAGGCTATCTTTCTAGGCCAGGCCTAATTCAAGCCAGTCCAGCAATTGAGTCCCAGGACTGGAATACAATGAAATACTCATGGACCATAAAATGCAATAAAATGGTTTTTGCTTGTAATAAAAGATTAGAAGGATATAATTATTAAAAATAGACACTGTTCTCTTTTGCCTCCAAAATTGCCTGGGCAGCAATGTTGGATCAAAAAGATACCCAGCTAAAAAAGTGGGAATTTCACCAAACCTCAGGAATCTTACCCCAGGCTAGGCTTTCTATGCCTCACATGAAAAGAAAGACTTGGAACTAGTCAAATTCTAGAGATGGTCTCTCGGTTCCCTTAAAGAGGCACTGAACCAGACTACATTCCTACCACATTTGTGAGGACAGCACTTTGAAAAACTTAACGAGATTGGTAAATGTGTGGGGTTTTTTGTTTGTTTTTGTTTTTCTATTATTAGAGCTGTCTGGATTATCCTAAGATGGTAAGCAATATGATATAGGTTATATATGTATAATCATATAAAACATATTTCCATATTGGTCATATTATGAAAGGAGAACAAAAGGAAAAAAAATGAAAAAAAAAAGTGAAAATTATATGCTTTGATCTGCATTCAGACTCCACTAGTTCTTTCTCTGGGTGTGGATAGAATTTTCCATCATGAGTCTTTTGGAATTGTCTTTATCCCATTCCTTTTCCTATCTTTAGCCACATCACATCCAATAACTATGAGTACCCCCTAACATTTATCCATATCCTGGACCCTTTCCATACCGTCTCACTTGACTCTCACTGAATCTCAGCTTCTAAGGGTTCAATTACAGATCAATGTGTATGATCCCCAGACCTGTATATTTTTTTTGCTATTCTTTTTCTTGAGTTACAGTACCATAGAACCAACTGCCTAGGCATCTTAAGCTCAATATGCCCAAAACAGAAATAATCATATTTTCTCCCAAACCCTATCCTCTTCTGAACGTCCATATTACTAGTGAGGGTGGCGCCATTCTCCCAGATAACTATATCTAAGGATAATACTGGAACAGATGAAGGTTGTTTTCAGTACCTTTAGTTATTCCTTTCTTTAGCCCTTTTCCAGGGAGATCCTGAGAGAGTCAAGCACAGATCAGAGAACAGAGTTGTGCGGACTTTGGTCCCCAGAGACACCATTATTGTGTAGCCCTGGAATTGCTCAAGATGACGTAGGGACAGAGATGCCTGAAGCATCCTAGGGTACTCAGAACTCTAAGCTTTGGAAACCTTAGCGGAACGAGGTTGGGGGAAGAGTGCTTAAAAAGTAGAATCAACAGTTATACCTTCATATTAAACAGTTATACCTTCATAATGAGGTGAGCTAAGTAAGTGATCATTCTCATTTTGATGTTTCTAAGACCAAAGAGAGACAGAGACCTCTTGAAACCTAAGAGCAGATTGCTGGGTTGTTGAGAGGTGTCTATAGAGTGGCATAGCTTCTTAGAGACTGACCAGTGTCCCAATGTCCAAGTAAGAGACCATTACAGCTGACGGCAGTAGTATGGTGGCCTCACGTGCCTGCATCCAGGCATAGAGAGGCCAGTGATAGTGGCATGTTTCAGTTGTGTTCATTGTCAACGATGTGGCAAAGGAGAGGAGCACCCAGTGGTACATGAACCCCAGGCTTCTGGGAGGACGTTAAGAGTTCTTGAAACTTTGGCTGTCTAGAGACAGAAGCTGTTGGGGCACCAGCCTTTTGGGGAAGAAAACCATCGAGTGGCCCCTGAGATACAGGGGCAGCAAAAGCCCGTGACCTCCTCCCTCCACTCTCACTGTGAGTTATTTGAACAATGCAGGTTTCATGGGGAGGGGGCTATCTGCCTGGTAACCCCATTTTCAGGGATCCTTGACCCACTCCAGAGAAAGAAGAGGAAGCTTGTGTGTAGTACCATCCTCTAGGGGCAGATGGGAAAGGTGGCCCGAGTGGTGGAAAAGCTTCAGGAGACTGAGCTATGATACAGGAAAGCAAAAGGTCCTGGTATCTGCGCTTCACCATTCTGTATTTTTGGATAGTGCAGATCCTGTGTGAAGGAGATGCCTCTGGAATAGCCGCAAGATAACTGCATTTTGATGGTAGTGCCAGGACTGTATAGACCCCTGGGGTAAATTCTGGGGACTCACTAGAATATTGGAGGGTGAGGGGGTAGCCTATCATCTCCAAATTTACTCTCCTTTGGAAGGGAATCCAAATAGGAGGATAGCACTGTGTGTCTGAAATATTGTATTGGGAGAAGGTGGGACTTGGTAGAATGGGAGAATTGTGTCAATCATTGACAGGCTACTGTGGAGCCTGTGGGTTTTCTACCTTTTTTGTGGGGTAAAATAAAGATCATCCTATTACCAAAATACATTGCAACTTTGTGGACTTGCATGGGAACTGGGGGACCATTTACCAGATTTATAGAGACATAGACAGTGGTTCCTAGAAGAAATTCAGAGTGGGGCTAAAATGAGCCAAAGAGATGAGTTTGTTTGTTTGTTTTCGAGAAAATCTTCAAAATGAAATTTGGCCCTTGTAAACCCATGGATTCTTGGGGTGCTCTGGACTTGAATATAAAATAGAGAAGAAACTCCATTATTCAGTGTGATAAGGGTAGACTCTTGATTTTCCTGGCAGTGGAAGAAAGTCTGGGCAGGGATTATGCTAAATCCTAGGCAAAATAAATACATTAGACATTTTTCATCATCTTTATTAAGCATGAATTGTTTTGCATAGCTTAGTATACAAATGGTTTCAAAAGTTTGCTATACCATGAGTAGGACAGAAACATAAGAAACAGGAAATCAAGGACACCTTACCATTTTATAACATCCTTATCAGAGCAAAGATGTGTGGCTTGGAAAGCAACCTATGGAATGAATCAATGAGCTTGTATTTAATTTCATTTTTTTCACCCTGTCTTCTAGGGGCTTCATGGGGTGAGGAGGAAGAAAGGGATGTTTGTGAGGTATAGCCAGAAGTTTTTTAGCCAGGGGAGGTATTGGACAATATGCCCCACTAAGGGGAGGGTCTCAAGCAGTGATTTCATGAACTCCTGCTCCCACGTTTCAACTGTGTCCAGATCAGGGGGCCTTTGTCTTCAGATACTCTCTGTTCTGTGCCACCACCGTGCCTATCCACTGACCAGTTTTCTGCTTGGCTTCTAGCCAGCTGAAGCGAGGCTCATAACCCAAATCCTTTTTGGCCTTCTCGTAGGAGAAGGTAAAAACACTGTTGCTCAATGTTAGCAAATGACGATTGAAGGGAGGTTCATAAATGAAAATAGGGCTTAGCATGAAACTTATCATCTCCAACAGGAAAGCTGCCCAATACAGTAATGTTAGAGGAATGCCTATTTTTGATCCAAGTTTGAAGCCCCATTCCTTGCTCACTTGATAGTTAAAATCAGAATAGCTCTGGGGGGGTGTATCATCACAGATGTAATAGAACTCACCCCCAATGCTTTGGGCCTTCTCAGAGTCCCGCAGGGCTCTGAGTGCCAGCACGTGTGCCCAAGCCACATTTCCAACATAGACTTGGTTGCTCATGGAACCCTCCCTACTCCTTATAAAGGTCTTATTTTTGTTAAGGGATTTGATTATTTCATTTTGGAGAAAAACGCACCCCTCCCCATAGATGTACATGGGCCTCAAGGAGCAGGTGTGCATGATGGAGCCATTCTTGAGAAGCTGCCCATCAGCCTCCAACACAGCCTTCTCAGCCAGTTTCTTGCTATAGGGATATGCATTGTACCACTTGCTTTCAAGGAGCATACCCTCATGCCCATTTTGGATGGGCTTTGTATATGAGTTGGGGCCAGCCACTTCTACAGAGCTGGTGTAGAGGAAGACAGGCACATTAGCTGAGATGCAGGCTTCCAACAGGAGCTGAGTACCTGTTAAAGAAGCACATGGGAATGGTAAGTGACAGGAGGGAAAGACCTCAAGTGGTCAACTGAGGCGACAAAGTCAGTGATAGGAAGACTGAATGTGAACAGCTCACACTTTTTCAAACTGGATACAGCTCCAGTACATCAAAAATGACAGTAAACGTATATATTCCATCCAGTGTTTCATTAAAAAACAGGTCACAGCAGAATAATCCTTCGTCTTTTATTTGATTTTTTTAAAACAAGGGTTAGTTGCTACACACTTATCTCAGGGAGGTGCTATAAATGTCGTGTTTTTAGATTTCAGTGAGGCATTTGACAAAATCTTATATGAGAAACTTGAAGAAATGTAGGCTAGGTGATATTAGTCAGAGGACTAAAAAATGATTGAATGAGTGGATTTTAGGAGTAGTAATTGATGTATAGGTGCATGCCAGGCTAATGGCCCATATGGTTTTCTCTTTTCTCTCTAAGCTCTTTTGGTGATATCAATATCATCTGCTCACATAGATTCAACTGCCTCTTTGCTGGGGACTTCCAAATCAACATATCCCACTCTCTTCTTTTCTGAGCTCTAGCCCAGCATTTTCTAATTACTTGCTGGTTATCTCTGCTTCAGTCAATCAATAAACATTTATTAAGCACCTACTATATGCCAGGCATTGTACTAAGCACTAGAAATACGAAAGACAGTTCCTGCCCTCAAAAAACTTACGGTATAATGGAGAAAACATGCAAGCATATATCTATCTATCTATCTATCTATCTATCTATCTATCTATCTATCTATCTATCTGTATGTATGTATGTATCCATATCCATACACACACACACACACACACACACACACACACACACACACACACACACATACACACACATAAACTATGCACAGGATAAAGAGGAAATACTTAACAGAAGGAAGGCACTAGAATTAAGAGGAGTTGAGAAAGGCTTCCTAAAAAAGACGAGATTTTAGTTGGGACTTAGAGGAAGCCTAGGAAATGAGTAGACAGAGTTGAAGGAGAACATTCCAGATGTGGGGGACAGCCAGAGAAAACTTCTGGAGCGGAAAAATGGAGTGTTTTATTTGTGGAACAGTCAGGAGGCAAGTGTCACTGGATCAAAGAGGCCATGGTGGGGAGTGAAGTATAAAAAGTCTGAAAAGGTAGGAGCTGGAAAGGTACGTCAACCTAGAGAGACCTAACACTCCTCAGAGCCCTAAGTTTCACTTTATTCTGCTCATTTTTATCCCTGATTTGGACGAAGGCAAATCAGATGACATAATGAGAATCTAAAAGAATGTCCCCACAGGCTGGAATGATGGATCATATCTAATAAGTGAAACTTAATATGGATAAATATAAAGTTCTAAATGAGTTAAAAACAATTAACTATACACATAAAGTATATCCATGTGAAAAGGATATGAAATTCTTAGTGAACTTCTAGTTCACTATGAATTCACATAGAGGCCAAAAAATTAATTTCGGGGTCCTCAAAGAAGCATAGTCTCTCCCCCCCACCAATTTCTAAGCATTGGTATTTAAAGTTTTGAGTCCCAAATTCTATCCCTCCCTCCCTGTTCTGCCCTGTTGCTGAGACAATAAGCAATAATGTGTAATTATGTAAAACATTTCCAAATTAGTCATTTTGTACAAGAAGACTCAAATAGAAGAAAAAAAAAGAAAGTGAAAAATAGCATGAGAAGCATAGTATCTTGAACAAGGATTCTTAATTTTTTTTTTTGATGTTGTTGGACCCTTTGGCAATCTGCTTAATGCCTATGGACCCTTTCTCAGAATAATGGTTTGAAATTCACAAAATAAAATATATAGGATTATAAAAAGAAACAATTACATTGAAATACAGTTATTGAAATATTTTTTAAAAAATCAGAGACTCTTTAAATTATATCCATAGATTCAATGGGATCTGCTTCTTAAGTGAAGAACCCCAGACCTAGAACAAGGTAGGTTATCCTGGGCAGCCCGCAAATGGAGTATTATAGATTTAGGTGCTGCTGTTGTTGTAGATAGAACACCAGGCCTGGAGTCAGGAAGACCCGAGTTTAAATCCAGCTGCAGATGCTTCTTAGCTGTGTGACCCTAGTAAGTCACTTAACCTTGTTTGCCTTAATTTCCTTATCTGTAAAATGACCTGGAGAAGGAAATGGCAAACCACTCCAGCATCTTTGTGGTCAAAACCCCAGATAGAGTCATGAAGAGTTGGACACGATTGAAATGACTGACGACAACAATAATATTTCTGGAGGGAGAATCTAGTGGGAGCCTTGAAATGGCGCTCCTGGAAGGTAAGAAACCTCTCAGCTAGGAAGGAATAGTTGTTTCTGTGTGTACGTGTGTGTCGGAAAGAAGAAGATGAAGCTTCTGCCTCTCAAGAGACTGTCTTATGGGAAAGATAATTTTCATCTCCTGATTTGCAGAGAAATTTCAAGTTGGTTTTCTGCAGAGAGCTTCAGTTTTCTTCCAAAATGGATTGGGGATGGGGTAGATAGGTGGAACTTTGTTCACTTTTGTCTCAGGGGCATTAGAATAAGACTACAGTCTCTGGGGGCACCATTACTGTATAACCTTGGAAATGCTGAAGATTATGTGGAAAAAGATCGGCCTGAAGCATCCCAGGGTTCCCAAAGCTCTGAGCTCTGGCAGGAACCTTGCTGGGAACCTTGGCAGCATAAGCCTGGGGGAAGAAGCCTTAAAATAGAAGTAAATGAGCAATAATACCTTTACATTGTTTTCAGTTAGGTATGTAAACATTTCTATCTTGATGGCTCTGGTGAGAGTGAGCTGTTGGGCTGCTTTGGAAGGGCCTCAGGCCTATGTAGTGCCAGAGGCTGGCCCTACAAAGCTAGAGGATGATGATTACAAGGCAAAAGCCCCTTGAGATCTTTGATCTTCTAAGTTTTTTAAAGGGAGATTAAGGCCACACATAGAACAAGAAACTGTCATCAAAGATTTAAGTTCTAAAGTTCTACTTTTGTTGTTGTTGAAATAACCAAAGATAAGTGACTTGCCCAGGGTCACACAGTTAGTAAATATCTGAGGCTGGACTCCATGGCTGGTGCTCTATCCACTGGGCCATCTAGCTGCCCTTCTACTTCTTCTTTTCTTTTGGTGAGGCAATCAGGGTTAGGCGACTTGCCCAGGGTCACACACTAGTAAGTGCCAAGTGTCTGAGGCCAGATTTGAACTCAGATTCTCCTGACTCCAAGGCCAGAGCTCTATATCCACTGCACCACCTAGCTTCTCCTTCCTCTACTTCTTTTAAAAGGCCTATTCCGATTTGCTTAGTTATTAGTGCCTGCCCTCCTCCTCCTCCTCACCCCCACCTCCCAATAACTTTGTATTTATTTTGTAGAGACAACATGGTGTGATGGATTGGGAGCTGGCCTCAAGGTAAGAGCCGTCTCGGGTTCAAATCCCGCCTCTGACACACACGGGCTCTGGGTCCCAAGGTAAACAAACCACCAAAGCTATACGTGTTCCCAGATAAAGCTATATGCCGCAGAATAGGTATCCGTCTGCACTGGTAGAGGGAGTTTACTTGTCAGGAGTTCCCTACACTGATGAAGTCACAGGTCAAGTCCATATATCCTGTCTTACTTTTTTGTATGGCACATAGTTGTTGCTGACCCATTTCAGTCGTGTCTAACTCTTTGTGACCCCATAGAGGGTTTTCTTGGCAAAGATACCAGAGTGGTTTGCCATTTCCTTCTCCAGCTCATTTGACAGATGAGGAAACTGAGGCAAACAGGGTTAAGTGACTTACCCAGAGTCATACAGCTAATAAGTATCTGAGGCCAGATTTGCACTCATGAGAAGGAGTCTTCCTGATTTCAGGCTCTTCTCCACTGCACCATCTTGCTGACCCATATAGTAAGCATTTAATAAATATTTATTGATTGATTGGTTGATGATTGATCAAGGGATGTGATGAAAGGAATGTGGCTGTTGAGCTGGGCTCTGTCTTCCAACACTGGCAACAGTGCTCAGCTGAGAAGATGGTGGCCTGAGTCTGTAGGAGAAGGACACCACCCCGGCCTGGGTAGCCCTCATACCTTTCAAGTTGACATTCATTACGACTTCTTTTCTGAGCCGTAATCCCATGTCAATGATGCACGCGGTGTGAATGACAGCAGTGATGCCCTGGCAGGCCTTGCGGAGGAGCTGCTCATCCAGAATGTCTCCTTCCATCACAGTCACCTTGGTCCTGTGCTTCAGCTCTGCAGGAATAGAAGGTGGGTTAGTAGGGAGCATTCTCAAAACCCTGAGAACGGCCAGGATGGCTGGTTAGGGGCATGCTACTCCTTTATGGACCTGGTAGGAATTAACCGGTGGAGAAGCTGACTTTGAAAATGAAGAACTCATCATCATCATCATTGTCCAACTGCTGTGCAGCCCACTTGCCCGGGGTGTCTTTCCTGGCCTCTGGAACCTGGATGTTGGGGCATGTAAAGAGGCACTGGTAACAGGAAGGAGGTTTCAGAGCATGGATATTGAGACTTGGGAGCTGGTTAGTTGTTGACCTTTGGTCTTAAAGAGGACCAAAATGTGTCCACTATGTGTCCAATTGTGGCTGAGCTCAGGAGTTGGAGAGGATACAGATAGAATAGATAGGGAGCACTGAGTTATGGGGGAGGGGGAATCAGGAGGAGGAAGAAGAAAAGAAAGAAACCAGAAGGAAGATAAATGTGGGTGGGAGGTGAGAAATGGTTGGGGGAGTCACATGGAGCGGAGAGAGGGACACAGAAGAGGGAAGTGGGTGAAAGCCACTTGGCCTCTTTCACGGTTTCCTTGAGAGCCAGCCCCTCTGCCTCGGCTCTAGGATATACCCAAATGGTCCAAAGGTTTCTCTCACCCTGCACTCCTTTAACTTTTTAGTCTGTGCATGGCCATCCCAGAATACTCAAATTCATTCTAAACCCTAGATCAGAAGACAAGGTGAAGGTATGAGAGAAATTAATGTTATACTTTTATATTAGTAAGTAATTATTCATTGTCATCCACCCTTTCCCCTTCTGTTTCCTGTAAAGGCCTAACTCCTGTTAAGGTCAGAAAGTCTCCATAGGGCATGGCTAGTTGATGAGATTGTTTCTGGCCCTCAAGGCACATACTCCTCAGTTTTGGGTGCCGCCCAACTTTTAAGGGACCCCACTCAACTATGAGGCCTAATTTCTGTTCAGAATAAATAGAATCTAGTCTGGGTGAGCCCTTACCCTGAGGGGAGGAACCCCTGCCCCTTGGACCCCTCTGCTAGAGTTTAGGGCGACCCAGCTCACAAAGGAGGAAACCAGCCTTTGAGGTCCAGATGGAAACGGCCTCCCCTCTCCAGATTGCTGGAGGCTCCCGAGTCTCACGATCAAGACACATTCTCAGCTCTAGGAGCTGAAGACTTTTAGCCCAGCTCTTCATTAAATGTCCCCCAATGAAAGCTGAGTTTCACTTGTCAGGAGAATTCCCTTTCAGAAGGTATTTAAGGCAATTCAAGGTTTCTCTCAGGGTCTTTGGTTACTGAGAGAAACTACTGACCATCAATTGGCTGATTGCTAGGTAGCTTAATTAATAATTGATTATTAATTACTCAGAAGATCTCTTTCTCAGAGTTTCAGGTTTTCATTCATCATAGATAATAGAGATGGTGGGGGTGGTGGTAGTGGTGGTAGTAGGGGAACAGTGCCCAGCACTCTGGCATTCAGCTCATTGCCTGGCACACATCATTATGGAATAGAAAGGTCCAACTCTGGGGGATTAGGCAACTTAGGAAACACTTCCTCCCCTGTGTCCTCTCCTCCTCTGACAGCCCCACCATACACACTCTGGGGGAGGTGATTGTACAAAGCCATGCTTCTTAATGTGACTTTTAAAAAGTGTACATTTTTGGGGCAACTAGGTGGCATGGTGGATAGAGCACTGACCCTGGAGTCAGGAGGACCTGAGTTGAAGTCTGGCCTCAGATACATAACACTCACTAGCTGTGTGACCCGGGACAAGTCACTTAACCCCAATTGCCTCAAAAAATTGTATATTTTTAAATGCCAAAAATACCATTCTTCATTGACAAATAGTTGTTTATTTTATTAGAGTGGAGAGACCTGAGGTTTGTAATTTTTCAAATCTTGTCTAATAGTGGTAGATAGCATTGATAAAGCATTTTAAGGTTTTCAAAGCACTCAACATATCCTACCTCATTTGATCCTCCCAACAATCCTTTAAGGTAGGTGCTATTATTGTCACCATTTTATAGGTGGATAAACTGAGGCAGACAGAGGTTAAGTGACTCACCTAGGGTCATACATCTAGTAAGTGTCTGAAATAGGATTGAACCCAGATCTTCCTGACTTCCTGACTCAGCGCTCTTACTCATTCCACCTAAAAGCAATAGCAATGCAGGCAACTACATGCCTTAATCTAAGAACTTCAAGACATCTCTTTGTAACAGGAGGAATCATGATAGAAGGGAAAGAAGTGGGGAAGGAAGGGAGTCCAAAGAATGGAGTTCAGTTCTTAGAACTGACACTAACTTGCTATGTGACCCTGGGACCGTTATCTGACGTGATTGTGCCATCAGCCCCTCACCTATAAAACTTCGAAGGAGTGAGAGGGAGTGTGGCGTGGTGGATAGAGAGCTGGCCCCAGAGGTAGGAAGAATGAGAATCAAGGCCTGCCCCTGAGAGTCAGACCCTGATGCAGCCAGTCTACCTCTCATTGCCCAAGCAACAAGAGTTCTTAACCTCTCTTGTGTCCTCGACCCTTCGACTGCTTGGCAAAGACAGCGGATCCCTTCTCTGAATGACGTTTTTAGATGCACAAAATAAAATGTATGGGATTAAAAGGGAAACCAATTATATTGAAATGTAGTTATCAAAATGTTTTTTAAAAAACATTAAGTTCACAGACCCCAGCAGGTCTATATATAAATTTTATATATATATATATATATGTATATATATATATATATATATGTATATATATATATATGTATATATGTATATATAATACAAACATAAATTACAAATCAGATGCAATCTACATTGGTAGAGAAAGACTTGCCACACTAGAAATTCTTTATATCAATGAAATCATAGGGCTGGTTAAAAAAATAGGGATAGTAATACTGACCCTAACTATCTATCACTTAGGGTGATAGCAAGGACCATGATTAAAAAGATGGAAAGGCTTCTTGAAAAGTGAAAAACGTAAACATTGTCATAGAGAATGCTCCCTAGGCACAGCTCTATAGATGGGACCCCTTGGCACTGCCCAGTTTCACTGCCTTGAGAGTCTGGGGGTCTGAACCTGGCTAGCATGTTTCTTCACAGAATCACATGTGCTTTTAGTGACTGTTGCCTTTTTATACTTATGAGGGGAAAATAATGGGAAACAAGCATGCTTCCCTGCATTTTGTGCTCAAAAGGGGTAAAGGACAATGTTTCTTAAGTTCTTACTGTGTCTAGCACTGTGCCAAGGCGACAGATGGTGCCTGCAAGAAGCTGAGGGAAGAGGAGGATGGGGCCCTGGCACCCATTTCACTGGTCATAGTTCTTATCAAGGCACAACCTTGAAAGATTACCTGTGCCATTTCCCTTTCTCCTTGCCCTAAACCAAGCAAGTCATTGGTCTATCTGGGCAGAGAAGGCACTTCTCCTGACCTGGTCTGGCACAGTATTCATTCATTCAGTTATTTGACAAACCATTACTGTGTGTCTATATGTTCAAAGCATTGTGCTTGGAGGCCATGGCTTACCATCTTCCCTTACCAAGAACAAGCCAAAGTATTATTTCACATCCCAGTCATTTGTACAACTTTAAAAAGTGAGCTAATTCAGATTACAGAAAAGGAGAAATGAATTCTATTCCTGATTGTATCACAGTGGTCTCAGCAAGTAAGTTCATCTCTCCTCAGGCCTTAATTTTCTCATCTGCCAAATAGAGCTAATATTTGCTTTACCTCCCTCATAGAGTTGTGAGGCAATGTAGATTGCATTCCTAATGACAGGATGGGGTGTGAGCGGGGACGAAGCAAAAAAAATCTTTGAAAAATCTAGTGTCCGGAGCTATTCGGCTTTTGCCCTGTACCAGAGATTCATTTTAAGAAAGGCCTAATGAAAAAAAAAAAGACCTAAGGAATTTTAGCTACAAAATTGACCCTCCCCTTTTAGCCTAAATCTAGATTTTCTGGTGAGGAAGGACAAGACCAGATTAAGTTGTAGATAATCACTGAAGTTTGTGGCCCGGTGTTTCAGCCTCTTAACTTCCCAACCAAACCAGGCCCTCTATTGCTATCCCTACTGTTTCACTTTAAGAAAGGTGTAAAGAGAAGAGTGAAAAGTGGCAGGTTGAGTAACCGGGTAAAAGGGAACAGCAGTAGGAGGAAAAAAAGCAAACAAACCAGAAAAAGCCCCAGGGTGTCAGCGATTAGGAAATCCTTTATTGTAGCAAGAAGCAGGAATTCATATAGGCTCATGGAATGTTCAGGATGGAAAGAATCTTCTGAGCTATTCTCTGGATCGGCTATTGTTCCAAGCCTTCCTCATTTAACAAATGGGAAACTGAGGGTCAGTTCTTTGCCCAAGCTCCCATAACTTTATGGTGACAGAGCTATGCCTAGAAGCCAGGTCTCTGGACTCTCGGTCCAATACTTCTTCTTCTCTGTCCTACGAATTTTTTTTTCTGGTTGGGGCTTTGAAAATCAAGTTAACTAACAGTGTGGTTCTTTGTACAACACAGGTGGCCATTTGGGAGGCTCTCCAACACAGAATGATAAGATCACAAGCATAGATTTAGTGCTAGGATGTTAGAAGACATTGAGTCTAACCCTCTTATTTTATATGTGAAGAAGCTGAAGCCCAGAGAGGTTCAGTGCTTTGCCTAGGGTCACAGTTAATAAGTGTCTAAGGTGGGATTTGAACTCAGGTCTTCCTGGCTCTAAATCCCACAGGAACACCCCCAGAACTATTGAGCTCCCTTACCTGAAAATTCCAATAGCAACTGAGGACTGAAGACTTTGTCCAGGACCCGGATCTCCTCCAGCTCTTTTTCTTCCTCCAGCAATAGGTGGACGATCCTCTGCCCCAAAAATCCTCCTGCTCCAGTCACCAGACAGCTCCACCTCTCCATAGGCAGCATGGTACTAAATAACTCTTGGCAGAAAACTCCTGCTGATGGGGACACAGAGAACTTGGCATCAGCCTCGGGGACCTAGTCTGATTTCAGAGAGATCTCTAAAAGAAGCCCCAGGCTAGACTGGGGCTGTGGGAAAACTAGAAGTTGCTGAGAGTCAGATTTTGTCTTGCTCTCAGGGAAAACCTTCCTAAGTGATTAGAGTTGTCCCAAATTGGAATAGACTGGCAGCACAAGTAGTGAGTTCCCCATCATCAAATGACAGCAAGCAAAGTGAGGACAGTCACACATGGTAAAGGCATTAGAGAAGAGCTTCCTGTGTCAGTTGGGGTTTGGACTCTGAATACCCTTAAGAGCCTATGGATTCTGAGTCTGCTCTGATTCCTTCATTTGCATTTGTCCCTAGGGGATCTCTAGCCCCACCAAAACTAGAAGTAAAATAGGTGGTCAAGAAGGAAAACACACACAGACACAGACACAGACACGGACACACACACGCCCCAAATTTAATTCCTGTTAGTTGTCAAAAGGCAATACCTTCCAGATCAAAACTCTTACAGTCCTTTAAATTAGCCTGGATGCTGGTTGTCCTTTACTACTAAAGACAGACGACTAGTTTCACGTTCCGCTGACAGCTAGGCTCTTGGGTCCTCTTCCTTGCCTTGGAATGTGGGGCTTTTACAAAATTGTTTCTCTTTTTGGCTTCCCAGTCTTTCTCCTCCCCCTTTGAGCAAGGTCAGCTTTTTAGGGACAGCTTCATCATGATTCTCAGGCCCGACAACAAACTCATGGTCATCTCAAGGTCGCGGCTCATTCTTCAGGATATGGGAGGGAAGGACACATCTATCCTTGGTCATAAGAGAACCAGATTCAGGCAATGGGAGTCTCGGACAAGGGAGTAATTGGATAAGGGTGAGAGCCTCCTGTCTCCCAGAAGAGGTTTTATTGAGCTAGAGACAGCAAGGTAGAACAGTGGACGGAGCACTTGGCCTGGAGTCAGAAAGGCCTGAGTTCAAATCCAGCCTCAGATATTCACTAGTTGTGTGATCCTTGGGAAGTCCCTTAATCTCTGTTTGCCTCAGTTTCCTCAAATGTAAAATAGGAATAATAATATCACCTACCTCATAGGGTTGTTGTAAAGGTCAAATGAAATAATATTTGTGAAGTGTTTAGCACAGTGCCTGGCACATAGTAGGTTTATAAATGCTACTACTATCAAAATCCTACCCATCCTTGCATCTAGCTCAAATTCCACATTTTTTTTTTTTGCTTTTTGGTGAGGCATTTGGGGTTAAGTGACTTGCCCAGGGTCACACAGCTAGTAAGTATCATGAGTCTGATGCTGGATTTGAACTCAGGTCCTCCTGACTCCAAGGCTGGAGCTCTATCCACTGCATCATCTAGCTGCCCCATAAGTTCCACATTTTTCATGGATCTTTCTCTGACCTGACATATTCTGGCTGTGTTGCACTGGGTAAATCACTTAACGTCTCAAGATCCTAGGCAACCCTCTAAGACTTAGAGAGAATTAGAGAAGGTACTGACCTGAATTGGTAGAGGGAATTACTATATCTGTGGCTTCCCTACATCACTGAAATCATATGTCCAATCTCTACTCTTACCCTTTCCCTGACTTGGCTTTCCTTCTCTATCACAAACTCTAGAAGAACGAGTCATTCCCCTACTGCAACAGGTTTTTCTCCCTTGTCCTCATTTATTTTAAAATGACCTTGTGTATTCAGGTCACATCAGGAACACATTTTCAAATTATTTTGGCATAGGGAGTTAAGATGTTATGCTAAAATTGATTTCTGTCAAACAGAATGCTAGTTTCCCCAGTTTTTTAATCAAAAAGAGTCCTTCCAATTTTATCTTCTTGAGTCAAACACTGTGCAATTGTTTTTGATTGCTCCATTTTCTTTCTTATCTAGTCTGTTCCACTGATGTACTCCTTTTTCTTTCTTTTTAACCTTCTCCCAGTAGTTTCAATGATTCCTGCTTAATAATAACAATGATAATGAAGATGATTATAGCTAGCTTCTCTACAGCACTTTAAAATTTACTAAGTAGAGCTTCCAAACAGATCTAGAAAACATATCAAATTGAATCCTGCCTGAGGGAGACATCCAGAAAGAAGTCACAGTGATTCATTTTTCCAATCCAGATCAGCAAAGGGAAACAGAGAGGTCTGCAGACAGTGGGGATGGGGTCTTGTCATGAGCACAAAGCTAATGAAATGCTCCATTGCCTAGCAAGATGCTATGCATCAAGTCAAGAGGAGATCCCAGACCCATATCAGAGCACTAAGTACAGGGTTCAGGAGCAGGTGCCCACTGGCAGCTTTGGCACTCACTACCTAGTTTCAGGGTAAGAAGAGAACCTGGACTAGGAAGTTGCATTCCTGGGTAGGGAGGTCCAGGACTGTGTACTGAGAAAGGAGTAAATTCAGAAGTAAGTAGCAATAGTGTGGCTCAGAGTGCAGGAGCAGAGGAGGGTCTCAATTCTAGCTTCTAGACTAGTCTGAAGCTTGGTGAGGCTTTATAACCAGGTTAAGAATCCTAGACCAAAGGGGAACCTATGACAGCATTATAGTTGGCTGATAGGAGCTAAGTCCAGGAGTAGTCTACTGTTGCTCAGACCCACATTCAGGTCAGGAGCTTGCAGAGCTCAGAGCAGGGGGAAAGGATAACAATGATACTTTTCAGACCACTGTGGGACCACTGAAAGCTTGCAGGTTCTCAGTCTATCTCTGGGATATTGGAAACAGATAATAATCAATACCCAAAGAAAATAATAATAGGACCAGCCCCCTTTCCTTCCAGGACTGTGGCAGAGCCTAGCACTAACATCAAATCTCAAGTCAGGAAGTAGGCTGGAAGAAGTACCAAACAAAAAAAGAACTGCACCATAAAGAGCTATTATGGTAGTGGGGAAACCTAAGAAACAGATGCAGAAATGCATGATTCCAAAATATCTATAAGCAAAGTCTCAGAGAAAAACATAGCTTGGGTACAAACTGAACTAGAATTCCTAGAAGAGATGGAGTTTTAAAAAAATAGAAATATTTTTATAAGTTAAATGAGAACACTTTAGGGAAAAGTGGGGAAAAAAAGATGAGAGCGATGGAAGAAAGAATAGAAAAGGGAATTAACAGCTTGGTGCACGAGGTACAAAAGACTTGTTCAAGCATCAAACTCCCTGAAAATTAGAATTGCCTAAATAGAAGTCAATGACTCCATGAGAAAACAAGAAATATTAAAACAAAGTCAAAATACTGAAAAAAATAGAAGAAAATGCAAGATACATCATAGCAAAAACAACTGACCTGGAAACTGATTAGGGAGAAAAAAGTTAAGAATCATTGAATGCCATGACCAAAAAAGAGCCTAGACATCAAATTTCAAGAAATCTTAAAATAAAACTACCTAGATCTTTTAGAACCAGAGACCAAAGTAGAAACAGAAAGAATTTATGGGGGGGGGGGAGCCAAGATGGCAGAGTGAAAGTAGCAACTTGCTTGAGCTCCCCCAGACTCCCCCAAATACCTGTAAAAATGGCTCTAAACAAATTCTAAGGCAGCAGAACCCACAAAAAGACAGAGTGAAACAAATTTCCAGCCCAAGACAACCTGGATGATTGATCAGAAAGGTATATCGTTCCGGGCTGGTAGTGGAGCGCAGCACAGTGTAGGCACGCAGACTGCAGCAAACCTGGAGCAGGCCTCAGAGGACTGAATCCCGGGCAGCTGTGGTGGTTTCCAGACTCCTCAATCCATGCATGCCAAAGACAACTTAGAAGGTCAGTGGGAAAAGTTTGGTTCTGTGGTGCTGAGAGAGGAAGGTGGGGTCTCAGATCCAGTTCCCCAAAAACGTGGCCCTGAGGTGGGCAGCTGCTTCCCGAGCTTCCGGCCCACAGACTGAGGGGGAAAGTGGCTGATCAGAGGGGATTGCAGGGATCTCTTTGCTGTGCTGAGGCAGGAATCTCTTGCTTTGCCTGCTTGGATCTGGGTCACATTCTGGATGGGGGTTCTGGGGTGAGGAGGAACTCTGGCATGGTGGAGCTTGTAGTGGCTGTGGACAGGAAACCTTCTTCACAGTTCCAGGACAGAAAGGAGTGCTTGTGGTCACTAATAGATCACAGCACAGGCCAGGAAAGGAGTAAACACCTCGCCCCTTATCATACCACCTTGGAAGAACTGAAAATTTACAGGTCCCTACAAGTATCTCTGAAAACAGCTATACAAACCCCTAAAGCTTGGGACAGTACATTCTCCACATTGGAAGCAGACTCTTACCTTAACAAAGAGTTTAAAACTCAAGTAATTGGCTGGGATCATGAGCAAGCAGCGCAAAAAGAGTCAGACTATATTATCTTACTTTGGTGACAAAGAGATCAAAATATACAACCAGAAGAAGACAACAAAGTCAAAGCTCCTACATCCAAAGCCTCCAAGAAAAATATGAATCAGTCCCAGGCCTTGGAAGAGCTCAAAAGGGATTTTGAGAAGCAAGTAAGAAAGTAGAGGAAAAACTGGGAAGAGAAATGAGAGTGATGCAAGAAAATCATGAAAAACAAGTCAACAGCTTGCTAAAGGAGACCCAAAAAATACTGAAGAAAATAACACCTTAAAAAATAGCCTAACCCAAATGGCAAAAGAGGTCCAAAAAGCCAATGAGGAGAAGAATGCCCTAAAAAGAAAAATTGGCCAAATGGAAAAGGAAGTCCAAAAGATTACTGAAGAAAATACTTCCTTAAAAATTAGAATAGAGCAATTGGAAGCTAGTGACTTTATGAGAAATCAAGACACTGTAAAACAAATCCAAAAGAATGAAAAATAGAAAACAATGTGAAATATCTCATTGGAAAAACAACTGACCTGGAAAATAGATCCAGGAGAGAGAATTTAAAAATTATCTGAAAGCCATGATCAAAAAAAGAGCCTAGACATCATCTTTCAAGAAATTATCAAGGAAAACTGCCCTGATATATAGAACCAGAGGGCAAAATAGAAATTGAAAGAATCCACAGATCTCCTCCTGAAAGAGATCCCCAAAGGAAAACTCCTAGGAATATTGTAGCCAAATTCCAGAGTTCCCAGGTCAAGGAGAAAATATTACAAGCTGCCAGAAAGAAACAATTCAAGTACTGTGGAAACACAATCAGGATAACACAAGATTTAGCAGCTTCTACATTAAAGGACCAGGGCATGGAATATAATATTCAAGGAGGGCAAAGGAGATAGGATTACAACCAAGAATCACCTACCCAGCAAAACTGAGTATAATCCTTCAGGGAAAAAAATGGTCATTCAGTGAAATAGAGGACTTTCAAGCATTCTTGATGAAAAGACCAGAGCTGAATAGAAAATTTGACTTTCAAATACAAGACTCAAGTGGAACATGAAGAGGTAAACAGGAAAGAGAAATCATAAGAGACTTATTAAGGTTGAACTGTTTACATTCCTGCATGGAAAGATGATATTTATAACTCATGAGACCTTTGTCAGTATTAGGGTAGTTGGAGGAAAAAAATTATATGTGTGTATAGGTAGATAGATAGATAGATAGATAGATAGATAGATAGATAGATAGATAGATAGAGGGTAAAGGGTGAGTTTAAGATTAAGGGGTCATATCTGGAGAATAAAATTAAGGGGGGAAGAGATAGAAGAGAGGACAGACTAATGGAAGGGATATTCAGA